AAACTCAAACTGTATCAACTTTTATAGTTAAACATTGTATTAATAAATAAACTATACTATAATAAACAGTTTGGTTTTGTATTTTTAAAAGTATTAGTTATTCAATCTTTATTTTTATTAAAAGCTAAATAATGAAAATAAATCAACTAAAATATACTTTTATTTTACACATGGGGATATAGAATTTGTATTAGGAAAAACTGAGCAGAGTTTAACAATACTGAGCTTCTTTAAGAATTTAGCCAGCAGTGACAGTTTCCGGAAGGTTTGGGAATAATTTCTAGTGTAAATGATTAATCACAATGCTTCAGATTGCGGTGCGTCTTTGCATTACTATCTATTGGAATGTTACTATTTGCTTTTTAATTCCTCCAACTTTCTCAGCATTGGGAACACTGTATTAATTCCTGCGCCTGCCAGTTTTAATATTTCACTGTTGTAAAGCCATATAAATGTTAATTGACTTGTGAAAAAAACTGGTCTTTGGTTTCTTGTTTTTATTTAAATTAGACATATTTAGGGAACTCACTTGAAAGTTAGTCACACAATATACATATGCTTAGGTAAAAACATTCTGACCAGTCGTTTGTATGTATTAACAGTTGAATATTATTAAACTTTCAAATTCTGGAGTGTTTTTAAATGCTTTATTTAGCCAGGAGAATATGTATAATGTGAGTGCATCATATGGACTGTGCAAATTGTGTATTAAAATACTTTTAATATCAATTTGCTTTTTTCTATTTTCATTGCTTTCTAAGTTTCTTTTGTGAACATTTCCTAATCTAATAGTGTATTCTTATTTTTTAAGTGCTAATTTATAATTTTTATGCCTTTTTTCCCTCTGAGTCCTCTCAATACCCCAAATGTTTTAGTTCATTTTCATCTTTGCCACAAATTTTAGCTATAGATTTCTTTTATCAAATAAGTAGATTAGAGCAATTGTGTTTCCACTGCTCTGAGTGTTGTTTTGTCATTCTGTACTGAATTGTTTTGTGATTAGCTTTAAAAGTGCATAGCCTTTTTGTTTTTGATGTGCTTTTAACTCTAGTAGGAAGCCCAGCCCAGTTGAAAGTAAAACAAATTGTATATGTTATGGGAGAAAAACTAGTAATGTGATTGGTGTTTTTTGTTATCCTTTACTCAGTTGGTTATCAAACATTTAAGTAATTAACCATTTTGTAAAAACTTGTTTCCTGTTTTATGATGGAAGATAACTTTATCCAAAATTATTAATCACCCCTAAATAATATACTCCCTAAAACAATTTAAACTATATATGACAGAGGTCTCCAGACTTTATTCATTGTGCCTTTGCAGCTCAGTAATTTTAACGTGGTGGCAACCTTAGGACAAAAAAAAAAAAAAAAAAAAAACCATACCAAACAGTTCTATTAAATAGTTAAGTTCAAATAACTAAAGTATGTCCTAACAACTTAGTAGTCACGTGAAAAAATTTTTTTCACTCCAACCACAATTAGTTATTAATGGAATGTGTGCAACTTAGTTAACTGCACCACTCACACTCATCAGATTGGATGCCCTCTTTTCTTGTACGTTGATTTTTGTGCCATACTTGCATTTTATCCTGGCAACTGCTAAACATACCCAGGTTTACAAAATTGTCAAAAGAATGACATTTAATATGTTGAAATTGAACAGTCTCAATGTCCTGTAGACATCAAATTGTGTTTCCCTTGAAAAATTTAAAATATTCTACCAACTGCCTTTGCGAGTTCACTATGGTCCCTTAAAACATCTTGGTACACAATTTGGGAATCACTGTGTATAGTGTTATTTTTAATCAGCTACATTATTTTGTCAACACAGGATTTGTTTAACCTGGGATCCAAAAACTATGGTTGAGAATGATAACTTTGCCTACAGAATCATCTTTACCATTTTTAAAAAGTATAGGTGATCATCCTTGTCCCAGATATACTTAACACAATCTTGGGTATGGGCGAGCTTCACTCCAATGTAACCTAAGAGAGGGAGTTGTGGAAATCTTGAAATAACTTAATTGCTGAAGGAGCTATACGTTTTTTCAGATTCCCAGAGAGGATCGTGACATCAAATACTTTTGCTAAAAGAATGATGGTCTGTAATTTATACCTATACCTAGCATTCCCACTTGTAGAAATCTATCTCAAAAGGGACACTGATGAAAATATGAAAGCTGTTGCAGAAATTTTTAATAGCAAAGACTGGAAATCATATTTCTTTGTGTGCCATTAGTTGAATAAACTGGTAGATGCAACAATACTATTCCAGTTGGAAAAAGAATTAAGGTCTTTATATATTGCTGTGCTGTAATCTAGGATATATTTTTTTAATTTATTTTTTTGGTGACATTGGTTAACAAAATCCAGTTTCAGGTGCACAGTTTAACAGGAATATGTATATTGCATTGTGTGTTCCCCTCCCATAGTTAGATTTCTTTCTGTCACCACATATTTGACCCTTTTTACCCCCATCTACCTCCCTCCTCTCCCACTCCCCTCTGTAACCGCTAGTCTATTGTCCATAAGTCTCTGTCCTGTTCGTTTGTTGCTTTTAGGTTTGTATCCCACGTATAAGGGATATCATGTGATTTTCAACATTTTCTGTCTGACTTATTGCGCTTAGCATGATTATCTCAAAGTCCATCCATGTTTTGTAACTGCAGGTGAGAGTTCATAGTGGTTTGGATCAGTGTTGTAGCAGTGTAGGTGGTTAGAAGTGATTGGTTTTGAGAAGCTATGGTGTCAATGATAAGACTCAAATTATAGCTCCCTAGAAGTCTACAAGAACTATTGTTAGGTGAACAATAACAGTGATTCCAGAGAAGCACACAGTTAAATCACCAAGGACTTAGTACAGTAGGTGATGTCCTGAAAGACAGCTAATTTAAAATGTGGATAAATTTTAAAGCTTTATGTAGGCAAGGTTTAATAACAATAGCAGATAAGGTGAATTCTGATTCTATAATAGTGTTTCTCTTTGCTCACTTTTTTTGTATGTGAAGCTATGTCATGGGGTAGGTTGGTAGATGTGAGCTTGAACTTAGAAGCAGCTGAACCACATTAAGTGAAAGGCACTTTTTTATTGTTAAGTATTATATGGCTATACCATGATTTAATTATCCATTCATCAGTTAATAGATATCTATGACAATTTTTATCTTTTATTACATTTGTTGGAGTGACATTGGTTGAGAGAATTATGTGGGTTTCAGGTTTACAGTTCAATAGTGGATCATCTGTGTATTGCATTGCATTGTATGTTGATCAAAGTCAAATCTATCGCCATATATTTGAACCTATTTTTAAAAAATTATAAAGCAGTTAACATTCATGGAAAAAAAAGCAAGGTTTTTTGGTTGCAAGAGTAAAATACAAATCGCGTATGTGAGTGGGTGGGTGTAATTTGCTTATTTTTAGAAAGAATAGGCAAAGGACACAACAGTGAAAAGGTAACCTATTGGGGGGGAAGTAGGAGAGAAAATATTTACAAATCATGCCTAATAAGAGGTTAATATCCACAATGTATAAAGATGTACAACTCAACAAAAAAGCAGCTGATAAAACTACTCAAAAGGACTTGAGTAGTCATTTCTCCAAAGATGATACACAAATGACCAACATGAAAAAATGCAGAATATCAAGTAAGGGAATGCAAATCAAAACCACAATGTGATAGTACCTCATATCCATTAGGATGGCTACTATCAGAATAAGTTGGTGAGGATTTGCACCTTTGTGCAGTGTTGGTGGGAATGTAAAGTGGTGCAGCTCATGGAAAACTGATGGTTCCTCAAAAATTTTTAAGTAGAATTGTCATGATCCAGCAATTCCACTTTTGAGCATATGTCCAAAAGAATTGAAGGCAATATGTCAGATATTTGTACACCCATGTTTATAGCGGCATTGTTCACAATAGCCAAGAGGTGCAAGTAAACCAAGTGTCCAAAGATGAAGGAATGGATAAAGAAAATGTGGTATATACATGTGGTATAGTATTATTCAGTCTTAAAAAAGGAAGGAGTTCTGACACATGCTACATCAGATGAACCTTGAGGACAGGCTAAGTCAAGCCAGTCACAGAAAGAAAGGTGGTACAGTTGTACTTAATGAAGTATCTAGAATGGTCAAATTCATAGAAACAAAATGGTAGGTCCCAGGAGGGGAGGGGGAAATGAAGTGTTGTTTAATTTATATAGTTTCAGTTTTACAAGATGACAAAGTTCTAGAGACTGTTCATGACAATATGAATATACACTACTGAACTGTACACTTAGAAATGATTAAGATGGTAAAATTTGTGTTCTGTGTTTTCTACCATGATAAAAAAATTTTTCAATTAAAGGAGCAGGGGAATGCAATTCAAAAAAAAGCCACTGAACCTGTATTTCACATTGGTCATCTACATGCAGAATTACTTCAAGTGACATTAAAACATGGTATTGTGTACATGTCTAGTGACATATACTCTAAAACCAAAGAAGTCATAAATTGCATTTTGTAATCGTACTGTAAGTAATAATATTGGTAGTGTTATTTGAAGCCAAAATGTAAATACTGAATGATAAGTACATAAATTTCTGAAGAGAAGAAATACTTCCAATTGGATATTATCCAACTATAAAAAGGAATGAAGTGTTAACGGTACAACATAGATAAGTCTTGAAAATATGCTAAATGAAACAGGCCAGAACCAAGACCACAGTATGATTCCATTTATATGAAATATCCAAAACAGGCAGGTCCACAGAGACAAAGCAGATTAGTGGCTGTCAAGGGCTGTGGAGAGGGAGAATGGGGAGTGCCTGTAGGGTTTCCATTTGGAGCAATGAAAAGGTTCTAGAACTAGATAATGGTAATGGTTATAAATTATAAAATATTATGAATATAAATGCCACTGAATACATATTTTTAAATGCATAAAATTCTTAATTTTGTGTTGTGTATAATCAAAATTTTTAAAAAGTGAATTAACCTTGAGTAGTGAAGATCAGACAATTGCACTTAGACGAAGAGCAGCTTTATTAACAAATTATAAGCATATAATTCACTTATATTTGTAGTTCATATTAGTCTCTCAACCTTAAAAATAAACCTTTTTCTACCATGTAAAACCTAGCCTTCCTTTAGTCTTTTGAAAATTAGTATAGTTTGATCCTTGAGAGTTATAAAAAGGGAGCTGGACTCCAGTGTTATCAGTTGTCTGATAGCTGGGTCTTAATCCACCTCTGTCCACAAAAACTGGTCCACGGCCACCTCCAGGTCCTTCTTGTACAGCTTTTATAAGAGGATAAGTATATTTATTTGTTGAATCAGACTCAAGCTCAATTACTTCTCTGGCATAATCCTGAAATTCTTTTTCCTTTTCAGCCACAAGAGCTTCAGTAAGTCTGTAATACTCTAATTCTGCTTGTTTTGCCTGCTTTGCATTAAGTTTATTTTTGGCCTATTGGGGAAAAAAAGAAAATACAATTCACATTGGTAAACAAGATCAATTTTCTAAATATACATAGCATTTCAAATTGTAGATAAAATTTTCTAAACTCACTGATGTTTGACAAGTTGACTTAATAACTACATACTATAATTTTCAGAAATTCTCCCAAGCTTCTCACAATAGCATCATGCTTAAAACTCGTAGCTCAATGAGACTTACCTTAATAGTCTTATGTGATGATACATCTTCAAACAAACAATATAGTAAAATATTTAAAAACGAAATTTAGCTAAAAGCCAAATAACCAAGTTTAGAACCCTGTTTCTGCCATTTATAATGTGTACTTTGGCAGGTATAGAAGACATACCAATTGCTGTCCCCACCCATCCACTACTCTGAAGGAACTCATTCAAACCCACTCTCATAAGTCCCGAATATATCATGTGACCCAGCCACGTAAGATTAGATTGGCAATGAAAAAGTTAAACTAATTACATTCTCTCTTGCTCAAGAATTTGCAGTTGGAACAAATAACATTTATCAGTGTAGGCTGATTAGGAGCTGGGTGGAACAAATAAGCAATCTATCAACATTTCATAAAATTTTTTAACTGTTCATACTTATAAAAACATTGTTCTTTTGACTTTTTATATTATATGAGGTGATTTTAAAGTCTTTTAAAGATTTCTATGAAGTTTTGGTTGACAATGAAGTTTTGGTTGACAACTTTTCATTTTGTCCTCAGCAGCATTTTAAGAAATGCTGAGTTTGTCAACAATTGAGTGATTTTGTCTACTTATGAATATATTTAATATTCATGAAAATATTTTTCAAAATCAGTTACCAATACTTTAGCATAAAATAGTACCCTAAACCTGATATCCACCATAAATTGAAATTTATGAGGAAATAGAGCAACCATCTGAATACAGAATACCAAATTTTTATTACTGAGTGATGGAATTCAAAATTAAGGCTTATATGCTATTTGTTGGATTGGTGACAGAATACCAGGAGTTTGAAAAAATAGAAAATGACATTCAGTAAGCTTTAAAAAAGTCAAAAAAGGCTAAAAATTATTTCATCAAAGGTAAAATACTATAATGTGGGGCTTAAGAAGCAATTGCGATATGTTGATTTTGTGGCAGCTTGTAGAAAGATATTGAGGGAATTGGGAGAAACATTTGAGGTACAGAAAGAAAATGGTAATGGAAGGAAAAGATTACATAATTCATATGATTGGTGCCTCGAATTTGATATGGACTAAGAAATAATAGATTCATAAAGAAACTTTTAAAATATTGGTTAAAGTCCTAAAATTTATAACCAAAGGGGGTAAAGTAACAAGTACCTTTTCAAAGGATGCTAGAGAGCTAGTTATTTTGAAAACTGGAAAATAAAAGAAATAAGTATTTACCTGCCTTTCCTTTAAAAATTGTACCTCAAGGAAACCAAACTGCTGATCATGAAGTTTCTTGAAGACATCAGCAAATGAACCAGGAGGAATGAGAATATCAACATTTTGCCACCTCATGAATTAAGAGATTTAGGCAATGATCACCAAAGGCTGTTTGTTCGTATCACAGAAAGTGAGACAACAGTCATTGTGTGCCTTCTAAAGGAAGTACACAATACCACCTATGAGAAATTTTACCCAAAAACTGAATCTGAATCTGACCTAAATTAGATTTTACATGAAATACAGGGAACATATTACCACACCACAGGGATCCATCCAACCAGCAAAATCTAGACTAATAATTCTAAAAGACAAGCAACCCAGTTTCTTCAAAAAATAAACTGTAAGACACATAAGACAAGAAGGGAGAACTTAAGACAAAAAGAGGTTGGGATATGAAATTAATTTCTTAAATAAAGGATGGGGGTGGAGGAAGAGTTATAGATTAAAAGAGATTCAAGAGACATCAACCAAATAGAATATATGGCCCTTATATGATCCTGATTCAACAGTTTAAAAAGTATTCATAAGATAATTTAGAGGAAATTTAAACTCTGGACATTAATTGTTTTAGATGTGATAATGGAATGGTTATTACGTTAACTTCTAAAGAGTCCCTGAGTTTTAGAGATACATACTGAAACATACATCAATAAAATGATATGATCTCTGAGATTTGCTTCAGTATAATATGGCAGATCCTACTTAGAAAGGCTGCATGAGGAGGCTGGCAAATTCCCCTCTACAGGTAGCAAGTTTTATTATTAATTATTAAAATCAAACATTTCAGAACATTAGAAAGTGACCATGTACAGGCAAATACTTGAGAAGTGTTTTCACATGAAAAACTGCTGCTAAATTGGGTAGGAACTGCAAGTTTATGGCATACTTGTCTGGAGAGCATTGCCATCCCTCCAGCTCAGGTGATGAAAACTTACAGATTTACTGGACAACAATGGCAGACTCAATTTGGGCTGGGTAGCAAAGCAGCTAGAAATTTAAGGGGGAGATTCTGGAAGTGAGACAGTTTTGAAAGGCTGAGATAATAAACTACAGACTTCCCTGACTAGCTGATATCAAACTACACATTTACATAAGAGACCCCAGGGAGCCTAGCAAAAATTAAAAGTCTGGAGGAAATTGTGAATTTGCTGTTCTTTGGAATACCATTAAGATGGCTATTATAAACAACAAGAAAACCAACAACGACAAACCCAGGAAACAATTTGTGGAGAATCTGGAGAAAATGGAATCCTTGAACAATGCTGGTGGGAATGTAAAAAGGTATGGCTGCTGTAGAAAACAGCATGGTGGTTCTTAAAAAAAAATTAAACACAGAATTATCATATAACCCAGGAATTCCATTTCTGGGTATATTAACAAAAGAAAGCAGAAACTCTAACAGATATTTGTATACCAAGGTGCACAGAAGCATTATTTGCCAAAGCCAAAAGATGGAAACAACCCACATGTCCACTGATGAATGTATGAATAAACAAAATATGGTATATACATACAATGCAATATTATTCAGCCTTAGGAAGGAATGAATTCTCACACATGCTGCAACATGGATGACCCTTGAACACATTATACTAAGTGAGATAAGAGACGAAAAGCACAAATGTTGTATGATTCTACTAATATTAGATATCTGGAATAATCAAATTCAGAGAGACAGAAAGTAGAACAGTGGTTACCAGAGGCTGGGAGGAAGGGAGGATGGAGAGTTGCTGTTTAATGGGCACAGAGTTTCATTGTATGATGAAGAAAAAGTTACGGATATGGATAGTAGTGATAGTTGCATATCAATGTGAATGTACTTATGCCCTTGAACTATACACTTAAAAATAGGTTTAATGGCAAACTTTATGTTATCTATATTTTACTGCATTAAAAAATAATAAAATAATAAAATAAAAATAAAACTCAATAAGCTACCAAACCACCCATTTAAATAATTAGCAAAAGATTTGAATAGACACTTCACAAAAGAAGGCACACAAATGGCTAAAAAGAACATGGATAGACGTTCAATATCTTTAGTCATTAGGGAAATGCAAAATAGCACGAGATATCACTATACTATAAGAGTTAAAATCAAAGGATGACAATACCAAGTGTTAGGATATGGAGCAACTTGTTTTCATATACATTGCTGGTAGGGATGGGAAATGGTACAGCCATTTTGGAAAACAGTTTTTCACAAATAATTGAATGCCAGATCCTCAATACGTGTTCTAAAATCTCTGGTACCCCTACTCAGCTCAAATATGAAACTACAAGATCCCAATCAACATAATCTCTGGGTTATAGCAATAAAGAGAGGGGAAAATAAAATGAAGAAAATAAGCATTATGGCATTCATATTTTCTTCAATATTTACTAAAGCACAATAGACACCAAAGAAAGGTAAATACTTGTGCAAAAGACAAGCCTAGTATGGGAACTTCAATACAGATAAAAACAAACTAACTCCACATTTCTTATATATCTTATTGTGTCATAACCATAATGACTATCTGATCTTACTTGACAAAGAAAGCTGCTTGGGAAACAGAAAACTGGCATGAACTCTATATTACATATTTATTCCTAAACTAAGTATAAACATTTAGGAATAACTACCATTTGCTGAATATGGGCATCTTGAATTTCTCGACGTTCCTTGTCAGCTTTGCGTTTTTTCTCCTTTTCATGCTCCCAGAAAATCTGATCTGCTTTCCTGATAGCCAGCAATTGTTCTTTAGCCTCTATTTTTCTTTGTCTTTCTTCTTCCTCTTTATTTTTCATCTTGATGTGAAAAGACAAAGGAAAACATTAAAACCATTTTTAGCAACCAGTGCTCTCTAAACAAGGCATGGAATCAGAAAGCTCCAAGCAGAAAGTCAGCGAGGAGCAATGCAAGAGCAGAAAATTGTAGGCACCTGAGCTGATTCCCATGTGCCCAGTTTACTTTGGTTTTATTCTATTTCTCGAATATCAGGAAACACACAATGAGAACAGAATGATATTAGTTTAAAACAAAAATATAGGGCCATAAAAGGAATATCTTCCTAAGGTAGAGAAATATTTGTAGATAAAAAATTTATTGCTACAATATGTATAACCTATTCTAAAAATTTAAGTGCTAAGATAGTCATATAGGAAATTCTGAAGGACTAAGAAATATAGAAATGCAGTAGAGTGATTTTTATTTGATTTGCCTTAAAAACATTCAAATGAAAAGTATATTAAATGATTAAGAATTTTTGCATTTCAGATGGTTCTGAAACAAGAGATGATTACCTGGCATCTATAAATACATTATTCGTAATTGATTGTCATGTCATCTTGTGGTCTGATTTCAAGAATACAAGAAAATTTATACATTGTTTTTCAAATCTGCTATTTTTTTGTCAGAGAGGCAGAGGGATTGTGGAAACCACAGTGAAAAGGGCTTAAATTTGTTTTTTATTTTTATTTATCATAATTGAATTGCTTACCACAATGTCTCTATATTCTGCAATTGCTTTTAATTCTGCTTTGTTTTTTTCATATTTCTCTTTTTCTCTTTTTTCCCATTCAGCCTCAGCTTCTGCAATATCTCTAGCAATAATCAAATCTTCATTGTCAAGTTTCTCTTTTATTAGTTCGCCCAGGAATTTATTTATTCTTTCTCTGTGTTCCTCCATTATCCTATAACAAAATAACTGTCACTTGTCAAATCGTGAATAGTCGTGCTATGGAGCCAATATAATCTGAGTAAGATGTTTTATATAGTCTTTTATAAAACTAGAAGGAATCCCATTGCTCCTTATATATATTGATTGTTTTAAGTGCAAATTATTTTTTAATACTTCATTTTTAGAATAAAGTATGCAGTAGTCCCCCCTTATCTGTGGTTTTGCTCTCCATGGTTTCAGTTACCCATGGTCAACCATGGTCCAAAAGTATTAAATAAAAAATTCCAGAAATAAACAATTCATAATTTTTAAATTGCACACCACTCTGAGTAGTGTAATGAAATCTCACTCCATCCCGCCCAGGATACAAATCATCCCTTTATCCAGCATATCCACGCTATATACCCTATCCACCTGTTAGTCACTTAGTGGCCATCTCAGTTATCAGATTGAATACTATCATGTGAGAATGCTATTCTAAAAATCCAAAAGGAGTAATACATATAATATGGTCTCTTATATGTGGGTGTGCATAGGAAATAGTGTTTAAATTCTCTATAATGAAAAATATTTTAAGATACTTTATTATATTATCCTGTTTCATGTCGGCTTAGGTTAAAAATAAATCAGAGGCTTTTCTTTAAATAAAATTGCAAAATATCTAGTAAAAGTTATCAAAATTCTGAATAAATCTATCCTCTCACAATCCATGAAACTGGGTAAGAGGAGATTACTGTATTTTTTTTAAAGGAATGGGGCATTTTTATTTAGGAGATTGGGCAAAAAATACTTTTAAATTTTGATGTGACAAACTCAGTAAATTATTGAGTAAATTTGCAAAGCAACATGGGAGGAACAATAAGAAAGGACACAGTATTATATTATCCTGTTTCATGTCGGCTTAGGTTAAAAATAAATCAGAGGCTTTTCTTTAAATAAAATTGCAAAATATCTAGTAAAAGTTATCAAAATTCTGAATAAATCTATCCTCTCACAATCCATGAAACTGGGTAAGAGGAGATTACTGTATTTTTTTTAAAGGAATGGGGCATTTTTATTTAGGAGATTGGGCAAAAAATACTTTTAAATTTTGATGTGACAAACTCAGTAAATTATTGAGTAAATCTGCAAAGCAACATGGGAGGAACAATAAGAAAGGACACAGTGCATGCCTCAAAGAAATTACAATCTAAAGTGGAGAAAAGACATTCATGCAAATAACTATAAATGCAACAAATGATAAATGCCATGAGAAAGCTGGAAAATGATATGAGCAAATTAAAAAAAAAGAAAGCCTTCATAGAAAAGGTGACATTTTATCTAGGCTTTCAAAAACATTTTAAACACTTTTATTAATTGCCTACTATGTGCCAGGCACTATTCCAGGTGCTGGGGACATAACAATAAAAACATTAAAAATCTCTGCACTCATGGAGCTTTTATTATAGCGGGGTAGGGGAACAGTAAACAAAACAAATAATTAAAATAGTGTTATTTTATGCAATGAAGGAAAAAAGCAGTTAAATAAGCAATGTAGGGACTGGGTTTGAAATCTTAAAATAAGCAATGTGGGGAGTGGGGTTGTAATCTTAAGGTAGTCAGGGAAGGCCTCAATGAGAACACACTGAGTAATGATCTGAAAGAGTTAAGGGAAGGACAGGGTGAAGGACGAAGAGCAAAAGAAACAGAGAATAGTAAGAGATGAGGTCTGAGAGATAAGGCTGGGGTGGCTGGGAATTAGGATGGGGGTAAAGCCTTATGGGCTGTAGCAGAGACTCTAACTGTGATATAAAGCCATCAGAGGATTTTGCACTAGGGAAAAGCATGATAATAGACAGAAACACAAGGTACTGCAACTGGCTTCTTACTTTCCTCTCTCATGTCATCCCAAACTGCTCACTAAAGTAAGCAATGACCTCCAAATCTGATAAACACTTTATTTAAACATCTCATTTAATCCCTCTCTTGATCTAACACTGATGAGTGCTCTCTTCTTACTGAAACTCTCCTCCTCTGCTGTTTCTCCAGTTTTCCTCCAGTCTCTAGAAATTATTCTTTGGTCTTCACATTATCTCCCTTCTCCATTTGACCCTTAAATATGGGCTTCTCTAGGGACCATGCCACCTTCATTTCTTACCTATTCACCCTAGCTTAGGTCACCTGTATCCACAGCTGCAACTATCACTTACATATCAATGGCTCACAAAGCCATCTCCAACTCATACCCCTCTCCTAGAGCACAGATTTCCAGTATTTCCAACCATTTACTAAACAGATGTCCTCAATATTCCAAGGGAACCCAACTCACATGCCCCAAACTGAAATTATGTCACTAAAAGCCCTAGTCATATGTAAAATAATGAGACCTTTATTCCTAAAGGCAACTCTCATATCACAACTTCTAATTAATTATTAATAATTTATTAATAATTTCAGGTAGTACTTTGTTAACATAAATCATTTTAAAAGCTTACCTGAGTGCTCCAGCTTCTTTTTCTTCTGCCATTTGTGTAAGACGCTTTTTTGCTTTGATAAATTTCCTAATCTTTTCATCTTCCTCCTCTTGGTGCTGCTGTTCTACGGCTTTGATGATATTTTTATCATTCATATGTTCCTTGGAGAAAAAAAATTGTGTATTATCCTATCACAAAGAAAAATATCTTTCAACAGATGAATATCTAATAAGAATCTGTCAAATGGGCACAGCTTCTGACCCAGTTATTTCTCTCTTGGAAATCTGTCCCAAAGATATCATCAGAAATGTGCATTAGCTTTTATGTACCATGTACTTCATCTCAGTTATTTATAATGGTGACAAGTTGAAAAACAACCTCTAAATTTTCAATAATGGAGAAATAGTTAAATAAGCTATATTCACAGTGACATGAGAAGGATACAAATAATATAATTGGTAAGTAGGACGGGGAGCAGAATATAAAACACATAGCATATTTTAGTTTTGCAAATATATATAAGTACAACTTTATAATGTATATATAACTAGAAGAAATGTATCAAATGTTAACAGTAGTTATCTCTGGGGTATGAAATTATAGATGAGTTTTACATCTTCTTAATGTTTTTCTGTATTTCTTTGCAAGTATCTAATTTCTTTAAAATTATGCAATTAAAAATAATTCTATAATCAGAAAAAATACAATGAATAGATACAATTTTCATTTAATGTTTGAGTAGTTAATATGGTCACGTGGCACACACATTAAAAATATTTAAAAGAATAAAGTGTTCTTACACCATCCACTATCTACCTATTCCTTATTCTCCCCACCAGACTCATTTAACTAGTAGGTGGCAGAGTCAGGATTCAAAACATGGTCTGTCCCATTCCAAAGTGACTTGGAGAGATAAAAATATTGCATCCACGAACCAAGAATAAGATTTTGTATAAAAGGAACAATAAGATTACAAGTAAACTCTTAGAAATTAAAACTTTGATAAAATTAAAAATTCAAAGAAGGCTTGAAGACAAAGTTGAAGATAACTCTCAAACAAAAAACAAAAATGGCAGGAACGATTATTGTCTACCCAAGATTCTTTCTTCTGCATCAGTAGCAAGACCCAGATTTTGTTCATCATGCTCAGCTAAAAGGTTGTATTTACAAGCTTTCTTTTCAGCTAGGTGTGACTACATTATGACCAATGAGATTTAATGGAAATTGTCAAGTGGGACTTCTGGAAAAGTTCCTTAAAAGGAGAACAGATAGGGCACTCTCTTTTTGTTCTTCATCCTTTCTTCCTTCTTGCTTCTTTCAATGTGGATGTGAGGGTGGGAGCTACAACAGTCATTCAGGGCCACAAGGCAACCTTAAGGACCAAAACCATCTATGTTCCAAGAATAGCAAACCAAAAAAAGAGAAGCTGTTTCAGTTGAGCTAAATCCTCAACAACAACCATGACAAAGAGAGAAAAGGTCTAGAACTGACGAATCAAGATACATATCTTTAGAACTTTATATATATTTTTTAAATATATAGGTTATTTAGAATATAATTTTATACCAGAAGAAACAGCTAAAATAACTCAGAAGTGGTTGCCTCTGAGAAGCAGAAGGGGTGAAGCAAAGAAGCAGAAGGGGTGAAGCCTTTTGGTATTATTTGACGTTTTAACTCAGTGCATGTATTACTTAAGAATAAAAACTAATTTAAAAAAATGTAAAAATTACAAAATAAAATAAATTGCAACAGCCATAAAATAATTACCATTTACTGAGTACATAATAGTGCAGCAAATACTGAACATATATCGCCCCATTCATTCCTCACAACAACTTTCAATTTAAGGATAAGAAAATTAATTCCTTTGAAAAAAAGTTAATTCTCTTCTCCCTTTATTGTTCATATACATGAACATCCATATAAAACCATAGCAAATACTGCTCCACCAAAGTATACTCAGAAACTCAACTTAATAGCAACTTGCTTTCTACTTCACTATTGCTTATTAAAAAATATATTAAATGTTAGGCATTGGACTTTGTACATATTTTGAAGAAATGCTATATTTTCAACTTACAAAAAACAGTCTCCTGCTTTCATTTATCTCTTCTTTTTTCTTATCTAATTTTTTTCTCATTTCTATTTCATATAATAAATGCTGTTGCTTTATTTCCTCAGCATCCTTTTCTTTATGTTTTTTCCTTCTTTCTTCTTCTTCTTCACGTTCCTTTATTCTAAAGCAAAACCATAATTATAATTGAGAGCAAAGCAGAAAAATAGGTTATATTTTAAAGAAATAACTTATATTCTAACCTGGAATGATCTGAAGCTATAAGAGAGAAATTGTAGATTTGGCAGGGGACAAAAACAAATATATGAAGAGCAGTGATTAAAACTAAACCCAATCTTGGTTAGCCCAGAATTACAAATATTTTCCTTTCTTTGAAATTTGATTCATTCCTCACTAAAATTAAGTCCTACACTAAATTCAAATGTTCCTTTCCTTTAGAAAGAACCAGGTAACTAAATGAATGTATGATGAAATGCAAAGTCCCTAAGCCCTAGTGCTTCTTAGTGCTTCTCAATTTCAGCACTAGACGATGCTACCTAAGCTATGGGTCTAACCCCTCAGGAGATGGTGTTTGATGGAAGCTGAGGAACGAAAGTTTCTTTATCCAACTGGCCACTTTGATTGCCATTCTTCCTTTAGACAATATTAACGAGCTATTGATGCCTTCTGAGTGGTAAGCCATCAAATGCTGGTTCTCTCACAGGACTTATACATGAGTTCTTCAGATAATCCAAAGCAGTCTCCTCACTGCAGAGTTCTGATCTGAGAGATTTAGCTCCAGCTCTACCTCTTCAATCCACCCACTAAGACCCACCATCATCAACACCAGGAGCTTCTGCCATCAGTAGTTTATTGCAGATTCTTAGTGCTCTCATCTAGCGGCCAAACCTCCTCATCCTGGCAAGACAGCTGAAGCCTGAGATGTCTACTTGCCCATGCATCCTTGTCAGCCAATCAACAATTATGTGGGCTGCTCCACTGCTACTCTCCATCTGCTACTGTCTCTAGCTATTTTCCTTCCCAAACAGGTGGGCACAAGGCAGATCAACAACTCACTTAAATGGACAAAAAGACTGAGGAATAAACATTTCTTTCATATGTGCCCAATCAAAATTTTTTTTTCTTGTTGTCTCTTCGCTTAACTTCAGGGAGGGGAAAATTCCCTTCCGCTGTGCCATGAAGGACTACACAGTTAAAGGAGCCAGTTAGTCCCCTATGCTATTATTAAGGCAATTTAGTACAGGAGAGTCCTAGTTGATTCGTCTGTACAGAGAAAGCAGCTTTAGAGGCTGAGGGTAGGAGACAGAACTTAGTGCAAAGGGGCATGAGGGAAATTTGGGGGGTGATGAAAGTGTTTCATATCCTGATTCGGAAATGGTAATACAGCTCTATTCTTTTTAAAAGGTTAATTTTCTTTAATGTAAATTATACCCCAATGAATCCGACCCCTTCTACTACCACCATCAAAAAAAAGTCTGTATGGCTATATACTAAAACAATAATGGATTACTGTGGTGGATTAGATTACTGTTCAAAAAGACTCTCTCATTCCCCATTTCTATGGGAGTCTATTTCTCTATTGCACAGTTGTTAGGTGTGACTTGCTTTAGACTCGGGGTAAGCCAAGTGATTTCCCTGACCTTTGCCTTTGAGTTTAGCCATGGTCTTACAAGCTTGGGCTCACTCTCTTGCATCTGTCAATATCATAAGAAAAGTTCTCTCAGATGGTTGCTGTCTCTTCATCCTGGACTTCAGAATGAATAATGCATGGAGCAGATCAGAGCCCTCCCCATAACAATAAGCAAACACAGCCAGTTCTGCAGTTTGAAGAAAATCTGCCCAGCCAAGCCTAACCAACCCACAGACACACAAGAAATAAATGTTTATTGCTGAATGCCACTAGATTGTGTGGTTGTTTCTTATGCAACACTATTGTGACAATAGTAACCAATCTCTGGGTAAGGGAGTAATAGTGATGTGAACAGTGATTTTTAACCTCTTTCTTTGTATTTTTTCTACTTACTAGGTATTTTAGTATGTATTACTTTTATAATCAGAAAAAAAAGCTATATCCATTATAGAAAAAGAGGAAGGTACAAAAAAGGTAATTTATGTGTACATACTGTTTTAAATGATCATTGGCAAGAGCCACTCTATCTCTGCGTCGTTTTTCTGCTTTTTCCTGTTCTTCTTTAAAAGCTTTTTCAATGCTAAGTTTCATTTGTTCCTCCCATTTTTTATCTGATTTTATTTTGCTCTTCTGAGATTCAATTTGTGCATCACGTTCTTTCATGACTCTAGTAAGAAGTAGTCCGGACTACAAAACAAATTGCGTATTTTAAGAAAATAAAGTCTAATTGTGTAAATATGTTAAATATATATAAAAATATAAGAAAACCAAGTAGTACATGAAAGTTTTTCACTCTTTCTGTCTGGTAAAATTGATATTGCTTTGCATATTCAATGGCCTTTTTTCTTTCTCCTTGTTTGTGTATTGCTTCTTCCACGTCAAGAATTTGTCTTTCTGCCTCTATTTCTTCATCACGCTTCTTTTTGGCTTCAAGTTTCTGTTCTTTCATCCCCTGTAAAAAAGACAAAAGCAGTCTTCTGTTTTCATTTTTCAATTAATTTTACATAATTTAACATTATAATCTGATCATTTGAGCTTTCATTATGAGTCTTTATTGTATTTGCATATATTATTAAGTAAAACATTAGATTATACTTATGAGTTAATTTTTTAATTGACTTTTTTAGGTAGGTAACATGTTTACATGGTTCAAAACCCCAAAATATTATAAAGGTATACAATGAAACTCCCTCCAATCTTAACTTCTATCTGCAATCTCTAAGATAACCACTATTATTAGTTTCTTGTGTTTACTTCCAAAGTTCCTTTATATATTTGCATAATACCTATTACTATTTTTGTTCCTTTTAAAAATCAACAGTAACATTATTTTGCATGCTCTTCTATACTCTGAGGAATCTACAGAATGTCTCATGTCAGATGAAGTCTTTGTTCTCATTTTTGGGTCATACTTTCTACGTCTTAAGAAAATCTGAAATCTTGAATATATTCTGACTTATTTTTAAAGTTTTACTGTTTTGCTTTTCACATTTGTCTTTAATCCAGCTGAAATTAATTTTTGTATATTCCGTACCATAGAGACATAATTTTATCTTTTTCATATACCAATTACCTCAGTATCAGTTATTGAATTCCTATCTGTTTCCTTCTGATTTGCAATGACATTTCTGTACTATATCAAATTCTCATATATAACATGCATTGTTTCTAGGCTCTCTCTTCTATTATTTTGTCAATCTCTGTACCTATATTGTAGTTTTTATTACTATATTTCCATTACATTTACTACATTTCCTCTTCTTTAATACCCATGGAGGTGTAAAGTATTATGTATAGTGTGCTATTTCTGTGTAAAAAAAAAAAAATAGGGGATATATTGTACTTCCCTATCCCTTTAGGGATCAGACTTTATTTTTTAGAATATAATTTGCATATACCCTTTTGGTGTATAGTTTTACAAATGCATACAGTTACTTATAGAACTGTTCCATTCTCCCAAAAATTTCCCTCAGCCCATTATAGTCAATCACTCCCCATATCTGCAGCCCCTACAATCACTGATCTGTTTTTCTTTCCCCATAGTTTTGCCTTTTTCAGAATGTCATGTATTACATATATGCTATCAGTCATGATATAATTCTTCCCTCTTCTAGAAAAAAGAGAATAAATAATGAACACTGTTCCTAAAGCAAGGTACCACAAGTATTCTATGTACCTTTCTCAAAATAAATAATGTATATTGCAACATGCAATATTTTTTTAAAAAAGGAAACATGAAATGTTTAAAAAAAAAAAAGGATGAGAACTATCTGGACAGATATTATGCTTACACATAGTTTTAATAATTCTAAAAGAAAATAGGAAAACAACCCGCCTCTCAGTGCCTGAAATGATATAGGAAAGTGTAAAGGGGAGGTGGGAATCATCTTTTCTCAGTGTTTTCCCCCAGGTGAGATAATAAAAGGAGTCAGAGAAAAGATCCCCACTTTGAAGTAGCTTCACACTCAGGTACATGGAACCAAACTGTGGGTTACTATACCTCTTAGATAGAGAATCTAGCAGCAGCACAAAGAGAAGCACAGCAAAGACACTATGTAGTTCGAGAGAGAAAGAGGCAGACAAATCCAAGCTTCATAAAAATAAGCTGCCTTGGTTCCTCGTAGTTTCATGTCCTGTCTTTCTGAGCAATCCTTCGTAACAATAAACAGCATTACCCTGATACCAAAACCAGACAAAAACAGTTCAAGAAAACTACAAATCAATATCCCTCATTAACGTAGACACAAAAATAACATTTTAGCAAACTGAATCCATCAAAAGGATAATATATCATGACCAAGAGAAGGTTATCCCAGGAATGCAGGCTTGGTTCAACATTTAAAAATCAATCATGTAACTCACCACACAACAAAATGAAAAATAAAAACCTTTTAATTACCTTAATACACACACACACACACACACACACACAAAAAAAGGACTTTATAAAATCTAACAACAATTGTTTAAAAAAAAGATACACAGCAATTAAGAGACAGAAGGCAATTTGTTAAAATCAATTAAGGGCATCTACAGTACCTACCATAACACTTAAAAGTGAAAAATTGAATACTTTAACCCTAAAACCAAGGAAAAGGTGATAATTTTCACTCTTAGTACATCTATTCAATATTGCATTGAAAGTTCTAATTAGTGCAGTAAGACAAGAAAAAGAACTAAAAGGCATTCAGATTGGAAAGAAAAGTAAAATTATAATTTCTGATATCATGATTGTCTATATAGAAAATCTGATGGAATCTACAAAAATGTTACTAGAATTAATAAGAATAATATTGCAGGATACAAAGTCCATATAGAAAAAAATTAATTGCATTTCTATAGCTAACAATGAATAACAAATTGAAACTTTAAAATATCATTTCCAATAGCATTAAAATATGAATTACTTAGGGATACATTATGACAAAAGATGAATAAGACCTATGCATTGAAAACTATAAAATATTGCTGAAATTTAATAAGACCTAAATAAATAGAGAGAGATACTATGTTCACGGGTCAGAAGACTCAATACTGTCAAGATGTAAATTCTCTCCACATTGATCTAGAAATTCAACACAATCTCAATAAAAATTCCAGCTGGTTTTTTGTAGAAATTCACAAGCTGATTCTAAAATTCATATATAAGTGCAAAGGACATTAAAATAGCCAAAACAAATTTGAAAAAGAACAAAGTCAGAAAGCTAATATTACCTGATTTCGACTTATTATTAAATCTACAGTTCTTAAGGCAGTGTGTTATTGGAATAAAGATAGATGAATAGATCGAGGGAACAGAATGGATAGTCCAGAAGTTCCCCCTGCATATGTATGGACAACTGAATTTTCAACCAATGTACAAAGCCAATTAAATGGGAGAAAGTATAGTTTTCAACAAATTGTACTGAAACAGTTGGAAAGTCACGTGCAAAAAAAAAAAAACTTCAATTCATACCTTATTTCATACAAAAAATTAACGAAAAATCAACCAGAGACCTATATATGAGACCTAAAATTTTCAACTTAGACATAGGAGAAAATCCTTGTGATCCTGGGTTAGGCAAAGACTTCTTAGATAAGTTAGATAAGTCACTAAAAGAATGATCCATACAAAAAAAACTGATGAAATTTAAAGCTGTTCTTTGAAAGATACTGTAATGGAATAAAAAGCCAAGCAACAGACTGGGAGAAAATATCACTCAGCAATAACGACAAAAATCAATAACTGACATATGCAACATGAAAAAATTTCAAAATAATTGTGCAGAGTGAAATTTATAATAGAAAGCAGATCAGTGGTTGCCTAAAGGCAAGATAGGAGAGGCAGAGAAGAGTGAAAGTAAAATAGGGTATGAGGAAACTTTTTTGGGATGATGAATGTGTTCATTATCTTAATTACAATGATGGTTTCAGGGGTATATGAGTATGTCAAAACTTATCAAATTGTACACTTCAAATATTCCCGGTTTATTGTATGTCACTTATACCTAAATAAAACTGTCGAAAATGCATTTCAATGCATTTTTATATTTTACATATAGAAATATTTATGAGTACTAAAAAAGAAGAGTAAGTCTTCTATGTATATGTACTCCTTGGTGGTTAATACTTACCGCATATGTATTAGTCCAATGTTTTACCACTTCTTGGGATCGGATATGCATTTCTTTCTTGGCCTTCCTTTCTGCACGAAGGCATGCTGCTTTTCTTGTCAAACTATCAAGGCTATCTCGAATCCTTTCCCATTCATTGTGTGGAATTATGGCAACCTGCTGGAGATCTTCTTTGCTAGGCAGAAGTGGATAGAGAACTTGATCTTCAGAGTTCTTTATTTCTAATAAAGTTTAAAAAATGAATATTAAAGACTTTCAAGAGGAGCCAAGTGATATTTTTTCTCAGATATTTCTGTATTGGCATGATATCTGGAAATTGTTTCAAATAATAATTTTATTCTTGTTGTCTTAAGAACAGCTGGGATTAAGAGGAAAGTATACAACACCTTGAAATCAGAAGACATAGATTTGAGTCCTTGCTTGGTCATTTCCTTACTGCGTAAACTTGGGCAAGTCAATAAACTTCTGGGAGCCTTGGTATCAACATCTTTAAAGTTGAGATCAATACTACCTACCCCAATAGATTGTTATAAAAGCATTTTTCAAAGTTAACCAAGTAGCAATTTATAAATGGATAACCTTGGGCATGTTCATCTTTGGGAGTTACAGACATTGTGACTGATTGATTCAATTCAACCCCTTCCTGAGCAGCGGCAATGTAATTTGGAGAACTGACTACGGTTCCCAGGTTGGGCCTCATTAGTTTAAGAATACTTGCATCTCCCTTGCCAATAATTATTTCTGTAATAAGCAAACAAATAGGAGAAGAGGTTTATGTGAGACTTTTGGAAAAGTTCTTCTTTGTTCTTCTAGGAGAGACATCTGAGAGTGACTCTCAAGCTAGATCTAAACAAGTAAGCATAAAGGTCTGATAGGCAGCCATCCTATGATCACAGGAGGAAGCAGCTTTTTGATGAAGCTGTTACTGTGAACTGCAAAGAGGAAACAAAGGAAGCACCTGGGACAATGAGGATCTTCAGATCTACCAGATCTGAAGCCTGGAGTTCCTGTTATATGAGCAAATAAATTTCCTTATTTTTAAACATGATTGAGTTGGGTATTCTGTTATATGAATTCAAAAGCATCCTAAATGACAAAATGGAGCTCATAACAGCTCCTGTCTGAGAAATGTTCCTACCTTTTTAATCAATTGAGATTCTTAATTATAAACAACCACACTCACTCTAGCTAGTTTAAGCATAAAAGAAATCTATTAAAAGATATTAGGTAGCCAGAGAGTTATCCTTGGAAGATACACATGCAAAACATCACAGAAACCACATCATGAGATTCCAGTGAAGGCTCATGGCAAGTGGCATTGAGCAGACACCTCAACTTGCCCACTTAAAACTCACTCCACTGGATACCATATATCTGAACCTTTACCAGTGTTACATCTGAAATTGGTACATCTTTGCTGCCACTCTCCCCAGAAAATGGATTTGACATGCTGTTTGCTTCTTCATATCACTCTCTTCAGAATATAAATCTAGCCTGTGTACAACTGATTGGTCCCATGCCTGTGCCCTAGGTACAAGGGAGGCAGAAAAAATAAATTCTGTCTTCTATTTAAGGAGGTAGGACTCATAGGAAGGAAATTCACCAAAACAGGAAATTCATTTGAATAATGTTGGGTGGCCATAGGCATAATAAAGGTAGTAAAGCACAGTCGGTAAGAGTATGTATTATGGAGACAAATCACCTGGACTTTTTCTAAACAGACTACATACAAACTATGAGAATCTGGATGAAATTACTAAACCCTCTAATTCCATAATTGCAAAGTGGAGATATTAATAGTACCTACTTTATATGGTTGGCATAAGAATTAAATGAATATATGTAAATAATTTAAAATAGTGCTTAGTATACAATATGTTCCCAATAAATATTAGCTATTATTATTTCTACTATTTTATAAGAAGAATGAAAAAAAGTAAAGAGAAAATCAGAAGCAAGAAATCATATGGCTCCAGAAAAAATAATTTACTGAGAGAAAAGCTGCCAGGATCAATTAGAATCTTCTTAGCGTTTGAATTAAAGATGATGGGAGTGAGAAGTTGGTTGATAAACTAAAGTGTGAGTTTAGAACCACCCACACCATCTTGCCTACTACATACCAAGTCTCTACGTACAGAATAAAGCCAAGGAAAGCTGAGAAGTAAAACAGTGTCCTGGATCAAGTGATATCTAAATTCCCAAGTATGTGAGCCAAAATATTCCCCTTCTGTTTTAACTACAGTGAGTTAAATAAGTCATTTATAACCAAAGTTATATATATAAATATATATATGCACATATATGTAAATATATATATATAGCCTTGTAACATATTTCCTTTGTTTTATCTAAACTGGCTCAACTTTGTGTTACTTATAATCAGAGGTTAACTGAACAAAGGCCACTAAGGTAAACCATCTGCATTTTGATTAACATATTGTTAGGCATATTAGTATATTCTCTGACCCAAGAGTTGTTCCAGTTCTTCAAGATGGCAAGTAAAATTGAGAAAACTTAATTCACAAAAATACTAAAGGGGCTGGGTGGACCACATAGCCTTTATCAGCAGCAACTGCTTCCTACACAGCGTACAGTGGTGTGCAGGCTTTGGAAGCAGTGGAAAGAGAGGAGGATGTCAGAAGCTGTGGAGCGCACAATGTGATCCCTCCTCTGTGATATCCAACTCTTCAGCAGAGTAACTGCATTCGTGAGATGTTTTATTCAAGATCTTTACATGGACTCTGACACAGGAAGAGAACAAAGAAAACAACCACAAAAACAGCAGAAATGGGCAAACATAAAGAAATAAGAAAACCCACAGAAAGTTTGGGAAAGGGTTTTTACTCTAAGGCCACTGAAGTTGAGACAAGTTCTCTCATCTCTTTGAAGATCAAGAGAGCCCTGATTGATATCAGAGCTATGGATGATTTCACATATCCATGCTTTAATCTACTAGATTGATGCAGAGTTCAGAGGGTAATCTTATTTCAAGAGTCCTTCCTCACAATGGCTCTCATTCAATACTAGTAGTGGCTGTTAGAGAAGTTAAACAGGTCACAGCTGATAGAAGGGACATGAAAGACAGATGGACAGAAAAAAAGAAAAAGAAAGAATATGAATAAGCAGACTCTCAAGCAGTAGAGAGGGGATAAAAGCAGTTGTAAGTGACCTAAGGGTATCTAAATCAGTCCATGAGCCTGTCATCATCAACAAATTTTTCATGGTTTATAAAATCTCTTTTTTAAATTGAGATATACTTCACACATCTTAAAACTCACCATCATAAAGGATAACATTCAGTGGTTGTCTATTCACAAGTCTGTGCAACCATCACCGCTAATTCCTGAACATTTTCATAACCCCAGAAAGGAACTCTGTCTCCATTAACAGTCATTGCCCCATTCTCCCCTCCGACAGCCCCTGACGACCACTAATTTATTTTCTATCTCTATGGATTTGCCTATTCCAGACATTTCATATAAATGGAATCATACAACATATGGCCTTTTATGTCTGGTTTCTTTCATTTACACAATGTTTTCAAAGTTCAATCATGTTATAGCATATACCAGTACGTGATTGCTTTTTATAGCTGAATAATATTCCATTGTATACATGTATCACATTTTGTTAGCATTTGGGTATTTCCACCATTTGGCTATTATGAAAAAATGCCACTATAAACATTCATTTATAAGGTTTTATGTGGATATATTTTCAATTATCTTAAGTATATACCTAGGAGTAGAATTTTAACTCCATGTTTCACCATTTTGAAGAAGTGCCAAATTGTTTTCCAAAGTGTCTGTACCATTTACATTCCTACCAACATTGTGTGAGGGTTCCAATTTCTCCATATTCTAGGCAACATTTGTCTTTTTGTGGAAAAAAAGCATACACTGTATGCTCATAAATACAGATTTGTATTTCTTATAGTTGAAATATCAGAAGAAAGAGAGTTAGAAACAGAAGATACATTTATACTGTCTTTTATGTTTACTTATGTACCTACCTTTAATGGTAGTCTTTATTTCTTAATGTGTATTTGAGTTACTGTCTAGTGTCCTTTCACAGCATTGTGAAGAACTCCTTTTAGTATTTCTTGCAAGGCAAATCTGCTAGCAGTGAATTTGCTCAGTTTTTGTTTACCTGGAAATATCTTAATAGCTCCATGAATTTTAAAAGATGAACATATCAACCTGCTGTTAATCTTAGTGAGGCTCACTTGTATATGACTTGTTTCACTCATGCTGTTTTCAAGATTTCCTCTGTCTTTGGCTTTTGACAGTTTGATTATGATATGTCTAGTTGTGAATTTGGGTTGACCATTGAGAATCAGTGAGCTTCCTGAATGTGTAGGTTAATGTTTTTTCACCAAATTTGGGAAGTTTTTGGCCATTATTCAAATATTTTCTTCTACTGCTTTCTTTCCTCCTCTCCTTCTAAGACTCGAAATATATATGTAATGTTTGTATATTTGCTATTGTCTTATATTTCTCTGAGGATCTGCTCATTTTTATTTTTTCTTTCTTTTCCCCAGACTAGATAATTTCAATTGATGTATCTTCAATTCCCTGATTCTTCTGTGAGCTCAAATCTGTTACTGAACCCCTTTAGTAAAATTTTCAATTCAATTATTGGGCTTTTCAACTCCAAAATATCTTTTTAGTTCCTTTTTTATAATTTCTACCTCTTTATTGATATGCTCTATTTGGTGAGACAACATTCTTAATATTTTCCTGTAGTTCCTTTGACATTTTTTTTAGTTTTTTGAACGTATTTACAATAGCTGCAAATTTACATAAGTAAGTTGTTTAGTAAATTTAATATCTACTTCCTCAGGAACAGATTCTATTGAAACTTTTTTTCCTGCGTATGGGCCATACTTTCTTATTTCTTTGCATGCCTTGTCGTTTTTGTTGAAAACTGTACATTTTAAATAATATGTGGCAACTGTAGAAGTCAGATTCTTCCCACACCCAGAAGTTGTTGTTGTTGTTGCAACTGCTGTTTGTTTAGTAGATTTTTCTGAACTAAATATGTAAAGTCTGTATTCTTTGTTGTATGTGGCTACTGGAATCTCAGCTTTGTCAGCTTAGTTGTCAGCTAATGATTGGACAGTTTCCTTAAATGTCTTAAGTAAGTCTCTCAGCCTTTGCCAAGGAACTCTCTGTGAGTGGTGGAGCATGACTTTAAAGCTCAGGCAGACAGTTTATAACTGTTAGCCTTTACTTCTTTCTTACACAGAGCCTCAAAGTCAGCCAGAGGTGAAAGCTTCAGGTATTCTCAGGTCTTTCCTGAGCATATGCTTAGCCCTATCCAAGCATCTGACCTTCTAGACTCTCAGGAATATATAGGGAGCTTTCCAAAGTGCTCTGTGGGCATCACATTTCCCAGGTATTTAAGTTTCTTGATCATCTTGTTGTTTGTACCCAACTGTTATCACTAACATAGGCAGCTGTGATGTTAAAAAATGCCATTGATTCTTTTAACAAACATACCTGGTGAGCTCTGAGTCAGATCAAATAAAGACAAGCCTTGAGAGTAGGCTTTTCCAGGGAACTACCAGACAGGTCAAATAATAATAGTTACCTGGGAAATAGGCTTTAGAAGAGATCTAACCATGTTCTGCCCCCTCCACAAGTTGCTGAGGCACTGGATTTCACTGTGATTTCAGTGGTTTTCTGGATTACCATAAAGCTGGGAGAAAAGTAGGGGACTAGAGCAAATTAAAATGCAAAAAACTCACTATTGTTACCAAGATTCAGCTTTTTCTTGATAAACACTCCCCAATTGTTGCAAGCCTTTGGTTAACTTCCTGAGTTCTCAAAAAGTTGATTTCGACTATTTTTGCCAGTGTTCTTTTTGATTTAATAGAGGAGAGGATTTTTGGAAACTTTTATTCCACTACTCTGGCTGATATCATTCCACTAAATCTTTATGTAATGATTACAGATAGCTGTCTACATATCTGAACCCCTCTCCTACTTCATCCTCTTCCAAATGAAGATTACAATTTAGCAGTAAGGCTCAGAGGAAAACTTTTGGATCAATTACCACAAAACACCTATCAAGTAAATGTAAGTCTTTTAGTGCAGTACTGAATATGTAGGAAAGTGATTATGTTGGAGTAATTGTGTTTTTTCAATACATGCCACATGGGTACTGTCTCTCTCCTATTTAGCATGACCCTCTCCCGCTACCTCCTAAGTCCTTCACTAGTCCTACCCACTAGACTGCAGGGGGCCAATCCCCAGGCCAAAGACTGGTAGTGGTCCTTGCCTGTTAGGAATCAGGTCACACAGCAGGAGGTGAGCAGCAGGTGAGCGAACGAAGCTTCATCTGTATTTGCAGCCGCTCCCCAGCGCTAGCATCACCACCTTAGCTCCACTTCAGAACTTCAGGCATTAGATTGTCATAGGAGCACCAGTCTCTGATGCCAAAAAGGTTGGAGACCACTGCTGACTAGAGGAGAAATCTGGCTCTCACTTTGCTTCTGGCACAAGAGGCTTTATTGCTAGAGAAGTTCAAGCATTGACATGAAGATAGTCCAAATTCCCAAGGTTCTAGTTGTCACCATGACATTAATTGGGAATTACAGACTTAAGAAACTAGAATGGTTGGGATTGATAAAGAGATCTTTAGATATCCCACTAGGCTCCTTGTATTCCAAAAACGAAATTTTATAACAGGTCATCTGAATAACATTACCTTAAGTAGCATTATTTTTTACACTCTATCAAAGCATTTGCCCTAGGGTGAGACCTTACCTTCACTTTGGAGATAAGAAAACTAAGACACTTTCCTTCAGAGACTTTCATAAGAGAACTCTGTAGATTCACAGTAGAGCCAAGCCTTTAATGAGGTCATTGATATTTCCAAAAGATATTCCAATTCACTCAATGAATAATAACGCTTAAGTGCAAGAAAACTCAGCAAACTCCGGAATCTTGGAATTGCAACTGTGCAGCTTGAGAACTGAACCAGCTAGTCAGTCGGGTCAGCCTAGTTCTTGTCTTTTCTCCACCTCTATTTATGTAAACTTTTCCTACCTCCCAATTAACCTGAGGGCAAAAGTGACTAATTTACACAAACCCAACGATGCCCATGGAGCTGCTTTCGACTTGGTGGAGTCCATTTCACCTGGACTACTAAGCACTCTCACTTGGCACCCTCATCTCTGACCCATACGGGCCAGAAACAACCTCCATGCCGGGATAGGCGAGTTTAGCTCACCCGTGCTTTCCTTCGCCTGTCCACAGCGCCTTCCGAACCGCACCAGCATCTCTGATGAGGTGCCCGTGGGGCTCTCAGATTTGGAAATGCGACTCGCACACGGAGTCGGGAGGCCGCCAACCTGCGGACTGTTTGGCAAACCGCGCAGTTGCTTAGCAACACCGCCGGAAGTGACGGCAGCTGTCGCCAAGGAACGAAGAACACGCGGTAGTCGGGCGTGGGGCTGGAGAACGTAGGCTACGCCTGCGCGGGAAGCCGAGCCTACGAATGCGACGGCTCCGCGAGCAGGCGCCGGAACGATCCGCGGAAGCGGGTGGAGGCAGGGACGGCTGCTGATACCTGTCCTCGTTCAGTGGGGAGAGTAGGGTATCCGGTCCGGCCTGGTGCTCCCGTTCTCATCAATCGCGTGCCTCACGGGGGACGACCCCCAACTAGTTCCCTGCGTCTACTTTCGGGGCCGACCTGGCAGGTGTGTGGAAAAGCGGGGCCTAGACTTGGTACTTGCAGCCCACAGACCTCCTTGCGGGTGGAAGGTGAAGGGCAGTGCCCTCCCTTAACTACAGAAACCCAGGGATTAATTGACAGAATATTTGCGTTTAAATACTTTGGTTTAAGGCATGATCTAGGCCTGATGGGGCTTAGTTTTTTTAAACATAGGAATTTTTAAACTTGGATGTTGTTAGGACCTTCATATTAGGACCTTTAAGATTTTAAATTGCTTCGTAAATACAGTATAGTAAATCATATGTATTTGGGGGGCCAATCAGACCTCTAAGGACACAAATCTGTCAAGAGTGGATGCAGTCTTGATTTCAAAGGATCCTTTTTTAATACATCGAAGTACAAATGATTTCATTACAAGCTAGTTGGTTACAGCATGTACACATTAGGCACCAGATTGGAGTCGCTCAAAACAAAATGAGGTAAGATTTTAATCACTAAAGTTCTAACACATAGTTGTACTGTTTTTCTTCAGGTGTTCTATCAGATGTTCCACCATAATAATGCTGGTAAGTATGAAAGGATTAATAAAACATTTGTTGACAAAAATTAGTTTTTTCACATATGACATTGGTTTTTTTGGAAGCATAGTTTTTAAGATGTCAAGAACTTGGAAGAGTCAGATTTTACCCTGCTTGCATGATAACAGCTTGCCACAGTTTTGTAGAAGATGCAGACCCCAAAGTCAGAAATGAATTACTTGCAGTAGTAGCCAGAATATCAGCAGTTTTGTCCCATTCCCCACAGGATGATGCAAAGAGGGCCAGAAGTCAACTGCACATGAAGTTAAGGAACCCAAATCTTTATTATAATGAACAACAAACATGCCTTTTAAGGCTGTTTACTATACATACATTTTTGAGATGATAGTCCAGAGCAAAGGACAGTGAATGCCTTGCTTCTAAGAAATGCAGAACCACTAGAGACTCATGGAGAATTATCTCCCAACAAAAATTCTCTGGAATTTTGACTAAATTGGTTACAAAAAGTATTGAATATATAAGATTTGATGTTAGTAATTTGCCAATTTGACATGGTCTGATATCATTTGACTTTCAACACCTGCATCTTAGCTCTAAGGCATGGATCTTTAGAGCCAAGTTGGTCTAGAGTTATCTCTATTACATCCGCTCCTTTTGTTTTTTCTTTGTTGGGAAATTCAGAAGAGAGCATATACACTTTGATCTGAAAGAGTTTAAATTATTCTAGAGAAAAATGTAGAAAAAGAATGAACTACAGTCAAACTACCCATGATCCTACCACTGTACACAGACATTTTTTAAAAACAAAAATGGCATTACACTTTTGTGATTAGGCTGTTTAATTTGAACTGAATATCTTCACTTTTACTGGCTAAATAAATATTTCATTATATACCTATCACATATTTAACCAGTCCCCAATTCTTGGACGTGTATGTAGTTTCTAGTTTTCATTATTAAAAGCTCATAGGTTATTTTTAGACTATGGAAACATTGCTGATAGACCAGATATACACGGATCATGCTTTTGGAGAGAATAGTTAAAACTATTTTGAGAATTTAACAAATTAGTTTCAAAATAGATTCTCATTCTTAAAACAACCTTTATGCACATTCTTAATTTTTGGAGACATTTTTATTTCAAGTACAGCACTAAATCTTTTAATCTTTTAATGTTTAATAGAATCTGAAAATCTCAACAGAATGAGCCTAACACTTGTGATTTTATCCACTGGATAAAAAGTTACATTTACATAACATTCCCTGTGTAGTATTTAAGGTTTTTGTTTAATCAAAATTTGTTTCTCCAATTATCATTAGGTACTTCTCTGATGTAAGAGAAAATAGCATCATTAGAAAACATAAATTTAAAAATATCTTAAATACCTTTATTAATTTTAGGAGTTAAGAAGTGTTTGTTCCTTTGCTCCAAACCAGATAACTTTGTTCCCTGCATATAGTGAGAGTAGTTTGATTAGAAACCAAATGGTGTTTGAAAGTGAAGGTGGTCATGACTGTTTAACCTAAGCTCTTTGCTGAAGTAAGATTAATTATATTGGAAATACTAAATTGAGAAAGTATTTTTAATAAAGATTTGTATTGAGTGCTGAGGAAAAAAACATGAAAAGATCTGAAATTAAAATTTCACTTGTAAATAGAAATTAATAGCAGTGGAACTATGTTAATTTCAGGCTTATGATTCATCTTATTTTTAGATTAATAGTTCAGGAATTTCAGTAATTTGTGGCTAAATACAAGCTAGAGACAATCTTTAAAGAACAGTGAGTTAGTTACATTTGAAAAAAAATTTTAAATTATATATGAATTCACAATGCTTAAAAAGTATGTTTGTTTTTCATTAATTTTTATTATGGTGACATTGGTTAACAAAATCCAGTAAGTTTCGGGTGTACAATTTAAAAAGCATGTTTTTACTTTTAATGTGCCTAGGTACAGTACTAATGTGATTGTCAACTATGCCTTATTGCTATTTATTACATTGTTTCTATGGGAAAGTGAATTCAGCACGTAAATCTGTGGGAGTCAGTCAGACACCTGGATTAGGCATTTAGAGATACAAGGATCCAGATATCAGAATATTATATACCACTTAAATTCACACCACAAGAGATATCCCTTGTGGGATAATATTTTTTTTTTAATATTATTTTTCAGTGACAGTTGACATACAATCTTATTAGTTTCAGGTGTACAACATAGTAATTAGACATTTATTATATACCTTATGAAGTGATTACCCTAAGTCTAGTACCCATTTGACACCATACATAGTTATTACAATATTACTGACTGTATTCCCTGTACTGTACTTTACATCCCTCTTGCTATTTTTATAACTGGCAATTTGTACTTAATCCATTTTGCCTTTTTTCACACAGCCCCCGCAACCCCCTTCCCATCTGATGATCATTTCATTCTCTATCCATGAGTTTGTTTCTGTTTTGTTGGCTCATTTATTTTTGGTTTTTAGATTCCATATATCAGTGAAATTATATGGTATTTGTCTTTCTTTGATTTATTTCACTTAGCATGATATCCATGTTGTTGCAAATGTCAAGATTTCATTCATTTTTATGACTGAAATCATTATGATTGTATATATGTACCACTTCTTTGTTATCCATTTGTCTGTTGATGGAAACTTAGGTTGCCTCCAAATCTTGAGCATTGTTAATAATGCGCAGTGAACACAGGGGTGCACACATCTTTTCGAATTAGTGTTTTAGATTTCTTCAGATAATACCGAGAAATGGAATTGCTGGGTCATGTGGTAGTTCTATTATTAATTTTTTGAGCAACCTCCATATTACTGTTTTCCATAGGGGCTGCACCAATTTACAATCCTGCCAACAGAACACAAGGGTACCCTTTTCTCCACATCCTCACCAACACTTATTGTTTGTTGATTTATTGAGGATCGCCATTCTGACAGGTGTGAGGTGATATTGTGGTTTTAATTTGCATTTCTCTGATGATTACTGATGTTGAGCATCTCTTCATATGTGTATTGGCCAACTTTTGTCCTTGTTGGAGAAATATCTATTCAGGTCCACTGTTCATTTTTTAATTGGATCTTTTGTTTTTTTGGTGTTAGAGTGTATACATGTTGGATATTAACCCCTATTGGCTGTGTCATTGGTGAATATATTCCCCACTCAGTAGGTTGTCTTTCTGTTTTGTTGATGGTTTTCTTGATTGTGCAAAAACTTTTTAGTTTGATGTAGTCCCATTTGTATATTTTTTTCCTTTTGTTTCCCTTACTTGAAGAGACACATCTAAAAAAATAGTGCTGATACCCATGTCAAAGAGTTACTATCTATGTTGTCTTCTAGTTTTATGGTCTTAGGCCCCACATGTAAGTCTTTAATACATTTTGAGTTTATGTTTGTATATGGCGTAAGAAAGTAGTCTAGTTTCCTTTTTGTGCATAATAATTTTGTATCCTGCTATTTTACTGAATTCATTTATTCTAATAGTTTTTTGGTGGAATATTTATGGTTCTTACTATATAGTATTACGTCATCTGCAAATAATGACAGTTTTACTTCTTCCTTTCTGTCGGAGCCAGCCGACGAAGTAATTAAGGGTACCTGAAAGGGGGGAGCATGGACTGAGGAAAAGAAAGAAGACAGACAGAATTGCAGGAGGGATCACAGAATCAAGCTGTGTCTGTGTCCCCTAGTTTATTTAGAACACACTATTTATAACATTACACAAAGAAAGACAGTAGTCAAGAACCAAGGTTAGCCAGATTACTATATCCAGTAGAACAATGAGATTCTCACAACTCAGAACTCTGCTAAACTGTTGCAAGGAATTTGCAGTGATTGCTATGTGAACAGTTACCTCCCGGTTTTTCCCAGCGCTTTACAATCTCAACTTCTTACATTGTTGCCAAGTACACAGATATCCTTGTTCCTTGTTATACGTTTTCACATGTCCATAAGTGACTCCCCACAGCTCCCCCTTTTTTATTGTTTAAATGCCCGAACCCTCCTGGTTCTGGCGCAAGGTGACTGTGCCTGTCTTAGGTGATCCCCTCACCAGATCTGGAACTTACCCGTCATCGGTACGTGCATTCCGTCATGCACGCCCTGTCTTAGGTTGTCCAGTCTCTGAGGGAGTCTTACCCGTCTTTGACTACCAGCCCCCGCGGGAGGGAGATGTCTATCTTTTAAGCCGTATTTCGAAGTCTTACATGATGTAGGTTGGCCTGAAGTTTTAACATAGCACTAATGAAGTATTTCAGTAGAGAAGGAAGCAGGCACAAAACAACAATTACACAGGCTCCTATAGTCAAAACAGAAGCAGCTAGCTGATAGAAGGAAGACCATGAGGGGACAAGGCCCTTAAGGTGATCCAAAAATTCAGTGGCCAATTTATCAGCGTCAAATTGTAGAGGTTTAGCATTTTTAAGTCCTTGTATTTCTTTATGCAGGTTAATTAAATCTAAGGATACATTAGCATTGTGCCATATGCCTTTTAAATGATATTTTACTCGATCCCAGTCATGACTGGTCTCATTATATCTTCTAGATGTGACACAGATCCAATGATACTCCACATGACATTCTAGTTGAGATCTAATTTTTAGACCCTGGACTTCATCACCCAGGTATTCCACTGTCTTATACAGAGCATCTACCTTTTGTTCTGATTTTCTATCTATATTTTCCTGTGTTCCCAATGCTAAAGTAACATTTCTAGACAAATCATTGACAT